TATAAAACACAATAGTAGGTCTACTGTGTGGTTAAGAGCAAACTCTGGGTTCAAATCCCAGCCTCCCCACTTAACAGATACATGAAAGTTATTTAACTTCTCTGTGCCTCACTCTTCTCATTATGAAATGGTGATAGTGCAGTAAGTACTTCATAATGCTCTTACAAAGATTAAATTAAGAGTTAAAATGGTACAGTGCATATAACAATGCCTGGCATAGGGACACATCCACTATAACTCCCAGGGAGGAAGGGAACTGATCTCCTACTGCAAATCTGCCTGGCCCTGCTTCTAGATGAGTGCCCAGAAACAGAGAAGGCTCCCTTCCCTCTTATTCAAAAAAGCCTGCAGACCAAGATGTCCCAAGCACCAAGATGTCCCAGATGCTTTCAAATGTTATTGATATGAAAGAAAAGGGAGGTGTCCAAATCGTACACTAGATCCAGGAATTCCTTCACACTAATCTAGAGTACTTTACCCCCCACCCCCCACACCCCCCTTCCTGTTTCATCCACACAAGTAAGCACCTGCTCACCCACACCTCAGGGAGGGCTGATTTCTAGCCACCCAGTGGTACCAGGGCCTTGGTTGCTTCCTGACACCCTTCTGAGGACACATGATGGGCTCTCGGGTACCAGACCTGCAAGAAGCAGCCCTGTCCCAGCCACACTGGAAGGAGGTGGGAAAGCAGGGAAGGGCCAAGCCCCTCAGGTCAAACTGTAGCCCCATTAGGTGCCATTAACCCCTGACTTTCTATAGCTTACCACTAAGCTGGCAAAAACTTTTTTTATTTTTTTTTTTTTTGGAGCCGGAGTTTCACTCATGTTACCCAGGCTGGAGTGCAATGGCGCGATCTCGGCTCACCGCAACCTCCGCCTCCTGGGTTCAGGCAATTCTCCTGCCTCAGCCTCCTGGGTAGCTGGGATTACAGGCATACGCCACCATGCCCAGCTAATTTTTTGTATTTTAGTAGAGACGGGGTTTCACCATGTTGACCAGGATGGTCTTGATCTCTTGACCTCGTGATCCACCCGCCTCGGCCTCCCAAAGTGCTGGGATTACAGGCTTGAGCCACCGCGCCCGGCAAACTTTTTTAACTCTTAGAAATTTATACTTTTCCTCAGCCCAATAGTATAAATATCACCCCGTTCCTGGGGTGCCCCCCAGTTAAAAATTACTGTAACTTAATCTCTAAACTTACCAAGTTGTATACAGTAAACATACAGCTTTATATATGACAATCATACCTCAAAAAAGTGGTTTTTAAAAATTACTGTAACTTAGTATTGCCTTGTACAGTTAGCTGGCCCCCTCAATATCTTAGGAGGATTGGTTCCAGGATTCCCCCTTGGATATCAAAATCTCCAGATGTTCAAGTCCCTTATATAAAATGTGGATATAACCCTATGCACAGGTCAGGTGCAGCAGCTCACACCTGTAATTTCAGCACTTTGGGAGGCCAATACGGGTGGATCACTCGAGGTCAGAAATCAAGTTCAAGACCAGCCTGCTGAAACCCCATCTCTACTAAAAATACAAAAATTAGCTGGGTATGGTGGTGGGCACCTGTAATCCCGGCTATTCAGGGGACTGAGGCAGGAGAATCACTTGACTCTGGGAGAAGGAGGTTGCAGTGACCCGAGGTGGTGCCACTACACTCCAGCCTGGTCAACAGAGACTCTGTCTCAAAAATAAAACAAGGCCAGGCGTGGTAGCTCACGCCTATAATCCCAGCACTTTGGGAGGCTGATGTGGGCAGATCACCTGAGGTTATGAGTTCAAGGCCAGCCTGGCCAACATGGTGAAACCCCGTCTCTACTAAAAACACAGACATTAGCCGGTGTGATGGTGCGTGTCTGTAATATAGTCAGGAGACTGAGGTGGGAGAATCGCTTGAACCCAGGAGGCGGAGGTTGCAGTGAGTGCAGATCATGTCACTGCACTCCAGCCTGGGCAACAGAGGGAGACTCTATCTCAAAAAAAAAAAAAAAAAAAAATCACATTTACCTCTCCCCAGAGG